GTGGACATAACCAAAGGCTCGTGAGTATTTGCCTCGGCCCGTACGCGGTGAATTTTGAACGCATACGCGGTGTTCCTGACATCCGGTCAGCTGCTCGGAAGGGCGATAGATCAGGACACAAACGGAAAGTCAAGTTTGAATAACAATAAGGACAGATAATATTTGCATAAAGGAAAGCTACAAGTTTGCTCGCAAACCAGTATTGCAGCGGATGGACATAACCAAAGGCTCGTGAGTATTTGCCTCGGCCCGTACGCGGTGAATTTTGAACGCATACGCGGTGTTCCTGACATCCGGTCAGCTGCTCGGAAGGGCGATAGATCAGGACACAAACGGAAAGTCAAGTTTGAATAACAATAAGGACAGATAATATTTGCATAAAGGAAAGCTACAAGTTTGCTCGCAAACCAGTATTGCAGCGGATGGACATAACCAAAGGCTTGTGAGCATTTGAAGGATGCCTCGGCCCGTACGCGGAGAATTTTGAACGCGTACGCGGTGTTCCTGACAACCGGTCAGCTTCTCGGAAGGGCGATAGATCAGGACACAAACGGAAAGTCAAGTTTGAATAACAATAGGGAACACAGTACTTGCACACAGATAAGTTTCAATATCAATAAGGAACACAGTACTTACACACAGGAAAGCCACATGTTTATTGGCGCAAATCAGTATTTCTACGGAGGGACATATTCAGAGGTGCGAAAGCACTTGAAGGATATGTTAAAAAAAATCGTGGTTCTGAGAAATCATGTGACCAGGTCTTCAAAAACACCGCGTAAACGTCGGTTTATCCTATTGGTGCGACCCCCTGAAGATACATATCCGCTGAAATATTGATTTCTGCATGGACCTGATGACGCTCCTGTCCTGAGCGATCGTTTTTCAGATAATGCTCCGACCAGACCTTCAGGAACACGGCGTACGCGTTCGTGCATTCTTCGAGTACTCTCGACCCTCTGAACTTATCAATATACTAGAAACTTATTTGGTCGTCGAGTCCTCTCGACAAATCACACTTCCAGAAGAAATATCCAGGTACTTACGCGTGCATCTACCGTTAAGCAGCTGCGAGTTCTTTCTAATGGTGCTGTGTTCCATCTTGAGCGTAGGTTCCCGAGAATGACCATACTTTACGATAGAAGCTATTTTCTTTCCGAGTGTTGGCTAGATTCTGGCGGCACTTGCTCGAACGCGATACTATCTTGACCAAAGGGAAAAGAGGAAAGCCAGGGGAGGCATCCTCCTCATTCAGAGAGACGACAGGCAGATATGTAATTATCAAAGAAAGCTCGAAGCCAGGCACCCCGTCGATTGCGCTCCCTTGTTTCTTGCCCCATCCCAACATCTTACCGACCTACGATCCTCCCTCAATTCACCTGTCAAGCTGATACCACGCGCCCTCGACGCATTCACTCCTTCTCCAATTCAGAGCATGGACCATGTCCTCTCTTCCATCGATATCGACACTATCCCTCCCCCTCTTCCCTTGAGACGCCTCCTGTCCTCGGATCTTGAGGTGCGAAAAAATCGAGTGAGGGGAGGGAGGTGTTGCGTCTCAGCCATCGCCCTTCTCTTCTTAGTGCGTATATACAGTCGTTCGCCCTGCCCTCCTCCCTTCTCTCCTCGCTTCCTACCTCCTCTTCTCCCACCTTCCCTCTCTTCACCCGCGATCTGTGCTTGTCAGGTAATACTTAAATATTAATGATCGACAATGTGCATCAGGGCCTCTCGTAAGGTGTTGAAGTATTCCTCCTCGTCAAGACAATACGAGCCGGCGTTGCTCAGGATCACCTTGGCAGGTTAGGATTATGGAAGAGGAGGCAGAAGCTGGTGTTAGACGATGATGGGGACAGGAGGAAGGTAATCAGGGAGTGAAAGTTGGCAAGAGGGCAAGCCTTATGGAGCCTCGGGCCCTTTCACTCTAAGGGGCCCATTCCTCTCACCCTTTTTCCCTCCCTCCCTCCCACCTTCTTTCCCATCCGCTCCCTTCCTCCCTCCCCCCTCCTCCGCTCCCTTCCTCCCTCTCCCGCCATTTTATTTTTTTGCGATGCATGCAATCGGCCAGCCGCAGGGCTGTTTGGAGGGGCACCTCCTGGTCTCTCAGGGAGTGGGTGATCCGAACAGGGCTGCGCCCAGGCCTGACGAAGGGAGGAAGGAAGGAAGGGAGGGAGGAAGGGAGGGAGGGAGAGAGGGGAGAAGAGAGGGAGATCTGGCTAGTGGGAGGGAGAGAGGGACGGAGGGGAGAAGGGGGAGAGGAAGGGAGGGGGAATAAGAGGATAAAATGAGACATTTGCACATGCGGCGTATCCCAGCACCATTATCTCCGTCGCGCTTTCAGGGTGTCCGCGATATGGCATCTGCCTTAAGGCGCGATTTATCTTCCCGAAAAGGAATTGTATAGTCATACTCTTGAAATTAAATGCTCCATCTTTCAAGGTGGTCAGTAGTGTTTTTGTCTTGGTTCAGATACCCCAAAGCTTTTTGGTCGTTGATGATATTTCCTTTCTCCTTCCCTTTCTCCCTCCCCCCTCACCTCCTCTCCTTCCTCGTTCAATCCTTCCCTTCTTTTCCCGTTTTCAGACTGTTACTCTTTCGTCTTGACCTCCAGCAACCCCCCTCTCTCCTCCTCCTTTTCTCCCTCCTCCCTTTCCTCTTTCCTTTCCTCCTTCCTTACCTTTTCCCATCCCTCACTTCCTTCCTCGCTCCCTATATCCCCCCATACAGCCGGTGATATCTTGAAGACGGAGTCCGTCTTCCATCAAGAAGCAGAATTCTGGGGGTCGGTGACCTTAGGGAGGGAAAGGGGGAGGAAGGGAGGGAGTGAAGGAGTGAGGAAGAGCAAAGGTGAAGAATGAAGTCGGAGGAGAAGGGGGAATACAACACAACCACGGGGCATGAAGGAGAAAAAGGAATACAGGGCGGGACGCACCCATCGATTGAGCACGGGCATGCCCTTGTACATGATGAGCTGCTTAAAAATGAGGGAGGGAGGGAAAGAGAAAAAGAGCTTGAAAGAGGACTTGACTCAGCGCATTCCTCGATCTCCTTTCTTCCTGCTTGTGTAGCAGGCGCAAGTAACCCTAACCCTAACCCTAACAGGTGTGAGGTATAAAAATAGGCTGGCATTGGTCGAGGGACATCCTGCCAACGGCTTTCGTTGCTGCCAGCTTCTCTTCTGTCATATTCACGTCCTCCTGGTCAGAGAGAAGCGCTGGCTTTTATCCTAACAAATATTCCGGTGACGCCAAGAAGAACAAGGGGCCTGGGTTCAGCTCCTTATTCCCTCTACTCTTTCCTCAGCATTATTTTTTTCTTCGGGAAAATTGGGCCAAAGAGGGCTCCCAAACCACGGTGCCCTAGCTTGAAGCATTTGGGGTATACGGTTGGAGGGGCTGTTCACGCCTTTCAAAATGCCTCGCATTGCTTATCATTCTTTCGTCCTCCCTTAACAAAAGGAGGAAAAACGAGGGGAGGGAGGGTGTAAGCTGAGAATCTGGCGAATGGGATTGTCTTCTTGCTCGACAGGGAAAGTTAGAAAAATAAAGGGAGGCGAAGGGAGAGGGTAACCTTGCCATTGCACAAAAGTTCTTGAAGGGGAGAGTTGAGAGATGAATGGGTTATTAATTTTATGAAAAAATCAGCTTCCATCCTGTGACTGGGAGCGGTACTTGCATTGCCGGATATTTCGTGTGAGCGGTGGGGGGAAACCAGGAAGTGGAGGAGTGTGCAATACTCTGCTCGGAAAGGGGGCCGGAACGATAACGGCGGGAAAGCCAGTCCGTTGACCTGCAGAGTGCGCCTGGCACGCAAGTGGGCGGTAAGGATCGTCCTGCGAGAACCCCAAGAAAGTCGCACACGACTAAAGGAGCACGTCATCTGGCGCGAGACGGCGAGTAAGGATCTTACACTTCCTTTGCTTCCCAATTTTTGTTTTCATTCCTCCCCTCACTTCTCTTTTTGCGTGCGTCTCCGTTCTCAGTTAAGCTCGAGCAGCATCCGTCTTGATCGATGATCCCTCCCTTTCTCCCTTATAGGATAGGGGGAGGATTTCGGTGGCTCCATTTCTCATCCATTAATCCTTCAGGCTGAGCGAAATAGTGCGAGACGGTCCAGAACCAGTCAGGCGCACTGAAATAAGGACAATGATGACGTTGAAGAAGCGAAGAAGGATAATGAGGGAGCCTTTCCACCTCGTCCTTGCTCTGCTTCTCTTCCTCGCATTACGCTCATTTCGTCCTCGCCTACCAGCCTCCCTTTCTTACTTCACTTTCTAGTCCCAACCGTTGTTCGCAGGACCTCACAATCCACGGATGAATGGGAAAAAGTTGACTTTTGCTGTGCATTTTGGTGTCAAAACAACATGATAGGAAGGAAATGTGTTTATTCGATTGAATATTTTTTTTGCTTTCTGACGTGCGGGGATAATGAAGCATTTGGATTCTATGGCACAAATTGAGATAAAGATTTTTTTTCCCCCATCATATCCTACATGTAGATGTAAACAAGTCTAATTCATCGATCACCACCCGCATTATTCATGACTGTCGTTATAAAAGGCAGCTGTGTGTTGCTCGCTGAAAGGAAATCAGCAAAGCGAAGCGAGTCAACGCGTCTGCTGCCCCTTCCAGAGCGGAGAAGACAGCACTCATGACTCTCCGAAGCACGGTACAACTGCCATGGCTTATCAACTGCATTAGTCACTCAAAAGCATGTGCTACAAGTCAATATTCATGCCGAATCGATAGTCAACTCTTAGAACCGCTGAGTGAGTGCCTAGCTCGAAATTCTGGAAGGATTTTTCGGCTCCGTACCTGCTCCGCTCTCAACTCCTTCGACCCAGCCTGATACCATCACATTGCTCGTGTTCAAACTTCTGTACCAATTCCTCACTTTCCTAGGTATTAATGAAAGATAGCTCCGTACCGGCGCCTGTCATGGCAGGCAAAGTACCCAGCGAGCTGTACATCTCTGAGAAGTGGGACAAGTGCCTGGAGAGGTAAGAATCGTATTGAGGAGGTCATGTTCGAGCATTATGAGCTCCCCCGTGTAGACAGAATAGGCTTCGATTAAACAGGAGAGGGAAGTAGAGGAGACATGTTGGAGAGTTTTACGCCGTTGCCCGAAGTCGCTCTCCAGAGTTGTGGGAATACATCACGAAAAATGCAGATTGGGAGGAGACATTAACCGGTCACACTATGTGATCTCTTATATAGTGTGAAACCATGCGCGGAAGTTGAGGCACCATGCCGGTGTTATTTGCGACTTGAAATGGAGAGCGGTGGGGATAGGATGGCGTCTTGATAGGATGTGTTTTTTTGAGGATGGCATAGAGCCCTCCAAATGCAGAGGTGGGAGACGTATCGAGGATGGCCTTAGAGAGCGTACAGGGCGTTGTACCCCCGTAATCATTCCCTGGCTGATTGAGAAGTGCCCTTCTACCGTTCCTCTCGCCGTCCATTTCGCCTCAAGCTTACCTGTCTCCTCGCGTCCCTCCTGTCTTTCCCACCCAGAACCGTCGTTAATGTGGCAAGCGGCGCAGTGCTCGGACTTCTGTCCGGCTTCGTCCTAGCACGTAAGTGAGATATCTGTCTGCAACAGATTGCCCCTCCCTGTTGTCCCTGTCGCTTGAGCCCACGTATGTCCTATTTCTAACCTTACCTGTGGTCTTTGCGCAGGCACGGGTCACGGCCGGAGTCTCGTCGCCGCCGTGGGGGTGGGCTGTGGTGTGGGAGCGTCGTGGGTCAGATGCGCACAGGACTTCGAAGAAAAGGAAAAGGCGTAGTGAGGGGGAGGTAATGTGGAAAAAGGCGAGGGCGAGGGCCTTGATGTATACATTCAGGGAAGAGCGGACTGATGGAGAGGGAAGGGGGTGAGAGAGGGACGCGGATGCATGGACGCTCAGAGGATAGGCTGTGGAGTTTGATCCCTTGTGGTATGGCAGCTAGCCGGCCTAGAGAGACTGATATAGATAGAAGGGGCTAGGATGGGGCTCTGGGCGGCGGAGAAAGACTCAAAGGGCAGTCGGGCGCGCATAGATGCTTATGAAAAGGAGGAAAGGCGGAGGACGTGTCTCGGAGGTGGGCGACTGTATCATGAGGCCGCTTCTGAAAACTTAAGAAGTAAGAGCTTATGAATATGTACTTCTTTCAATGGCATTTTCTGCGCCGTAGCCTGGCTCCGACGACAGTCGTATGGGCAACAAAGAGAGTCGGCTGGTTCAAACCCCTTGAAAGAAAAGTCTCCCACCTTAGCTCCTCATCGACCTGCTCGCCTTGTCTTTCCTGCTTCAGCCACCCGCGAGGAGTTATTGTGGCGTTGTGGGAGGGTGCCCAGCGTACTCTGCTTCAACAGAGCGAGAATGAAATGCTGTGCGATTTGTCATGTGAAAGTCATATCCTCCTCCTTGCATGAAATTCACTTCAGAGGCAATTATTCCAGTAATTCTCCTTCTTTTCCACTGGCTCTGCTTCTCTCAAATATGCAGGCACTATTTTTTGGGTTATAGTTTCCTGTGAGTTATATATACGCGGGCGCTTTCTCGGTGGGTTATTTTTCCATAGAACCCTGCCTGGAGTACCATTCATCTGCCTCGAGTGCCCATTTCTCACGAAGTGGTGGTAGATATTTCATAAATGTCATCTCTTTAAGATTATTGCGTCATATAATACCAAGAAGTCTTCCTCACGCCTCGCCAGACCATGCACACACATGCACGTCGGCGGCGACATAGTACACTCCATGTAGCACATTTCCCATAGCATAAAAACTCTTTATTGAGTACTATGAAGAATGTGAGATCAATATCATTCCTACATAACGAATATTGCAGAAATCAGTTTCAAGGAAGAACGGAGGTGCGTGATGATGGTATGTCGAAAGCGTGCGGCGCCTCAATTGACCTGGTTGCAGGCGCGTGGCTCCGCTTTCCTCGGCAATCATCCCCGGAGGAGAGACGATGACTCACCCCGACGCCAACTCCGAGCGGCGTGGGGCACTACAGAGCACACTTAACCGGAAATCTGGCCAGGCATGCTGCCAGAGGTCGGGCTGTGATGTATGGAGGGACATTTGAAATTTTGGACGTGGACCGGCGGCGTTCGTAGGGATTTGGTCTGGCATGCCCGCATTCTGACATCAGGAGCAGAAGTCTCAGCTTCGATCCTCTTTCTTGGCCTTGGAGTGCGCCACTGGCGACTCCTACGTTTGAACACTGGGTAGGGTGCAATAGTGTATAGTGATTTATGGAGCTTGCGTGATGCGGGGGGCCATGCAGGGTAATCTGTGTGCGCCTTTCTTTTTCAGACGAGCAGGACTTCCACAGGGCAGAAGCAAGGAGGAAGCTCCTGCAGGCTGCTGTATTCTAGATCGGAGACGCAGCTAATTTTTTTACCACACATTGAACCGGAAGCTCTAGAAACAGGCACATCGAAAGAAACGTCGCCAGTTTGACAGTCGTGAGCACGCGTGCCGAGGGGTTGACAACATTTTTCAAGCTTACAGGGACGGTTTGCTTCAAATCTACTTAGCCGCTTGCCAGGCACCAGAATACCTGAAGCTAAACTCCGATGTACCGTGCATCCTTGCGCGCTGCACGTCAGGTATATAGACTTAGGGAAAAGTGTATGCACCAGGACTGTATCGGATAGTAATAGCCGGGGACATGGGAAACCTGCCATTGTGCCGTGTGTCAGCGCGTCGACCCCTTATCTGTGTCTTCACCCGTCTTGGAACAAACCATTACAGGGGGGAGCTTTCTGTCTCCGGTCGTCTCGCATAGGGGCCACACTTTCCATGCGGACCTTCCCCTCCGTCCCTTCTTCCCACTCCCCTTCTTTCACCACTCTTGTGGAGAGGCTCTGGTCGCGTGTGCCGAAAGGCTTCGGGCAATTTTATCCCAAGGAGGGAGGATCTGCGAGCGAGGAAGCCAATGGAAAAGGTGGGTAGTAGTTGGATATCATATGGAAAGAGACGTGGGGAAGAAGGCGGAGAGCTGACCGAGCAGTGTGGAGGATTCTGACGGAGGTGTCCTGGTCCACTCACAGGCGGGGACGGAGCGCGGAAAGAGGACAAGGGAGACGGCCCTCACGCCAACCAGCAGCAGCAACAGCATCAAAAAGGCGGAGGGGGCG